TGGGCTTCATCATAGGGGGAGGAAGTACGCATTTCACCCACGAGACTGGGCTTCATCATAGAGGGGTGCAAGTACGCATTTCACCCACGAGACTGGGCTTCATCATAGAGGGGTGCAAGTACGCATTTCACCCACAAGATTGGGCTTCATCATAGGGGAGGATTTACGCATTTCACCCACAAGATTGGGCTTCATCATAGGGGGAGGAAGTACGCATTTCACCCACAAGATTGGGCTTCATCATAGGGGGAGGAAGTACGCATTTCACCAACAAGATTTGGGCTTCATCATAGGGGGAGGAAGTACGCATTTCTCCCACAAGATTGGTCTTCATCATAGGGGGAGGAAGCACGCATTTTACCCACAAGATTGGGCTTCATCATAGGGGGAGGAAGCACACATTTTACCCACAAGATTGGGCTTCATCATAGGGGGAGGAAGTACGCATTTCACCCATGAGACCAGGCTTCATCATAGAAGGGAAGAAGCACGCATTTCACCCATAAGATTGGGCTTCATCATAAGGGGAGCAAATATATGCATTTCACCCACAAGACTGGGCTTCATCATAGGGGGAGGAAGTATGCATTTCACCCACAAGATTGGGCTTCATCATAGGGGGAGGAAGTACACACATTTCACCCACAAGATTGGGCTTCATCATAGGGGGAGGAAGTACGCATTTCACCCACGAGGCTGAGCTTCATCATAGGGGGAGGAAGCACGCATTTTACCTACAAGATTGGGCTTCAACATAAGGGGAAGAAGTACGCATTTCACCCATGAGACTTGGCTTCCTCATAGAAGAGAACAAGCACACATTTCACCCCACAGGATTGGGCTTCATCATAAGAGGAAAGTACGCATTTGACCCACAAGACTGGGCTTCATCATGGGGGAAGGAAGTACGCATTTGACCCACAAGACTGGGCTTCATCATGGGGGGGGGGGGGGGGGAGAAGCATGCATTTCACCCACAAGATTGGGCTTCATTAAAAGGGGAGGAAGTATGCATTTTACCCACAAGATTAGACTTCATCATAGGGGGAAGAAGTACGCATTTCACCCACCAGGCTGGGCTTTATCATAGAGGGGAGGAGAGACATGAGAGGAAAATAATATTTATGTAATAGTAAAGGTCAAGGCCACTGAGAGGAGGTAGAGCCAGCCTTCCTGTACTGAGCCTAGCTCCATCAGTTCAGCATGGGGATCCAGGAGCAGAGAGGGAACTTTTTAATTCCCATTGGGAGCAGGCCAAGTAATCGGAAAGCTTTCAACCCCTCTCGGGATTTATTTGCTTGGACAATGAAGATAAATGTGCTACTAGAAAGCCTAAAGCACCGGGTCACCCCTCCGAAAGGACCAGGTGCCAAAGGCCAATCAGTCCAGGAAAAAAAATCCAGACACAAAGTTCAACACTGGTAAACTTTATTGATCCAGACAGCAAATGATCCCCACTTCTGATGCATTTCACCCATGAGATTGGGCTTCATCATAGAGGGGTGGAAGTACGCATTTCACCCATGAGACTGAGCTTCATCATACAGGGGAAGAAGCACGCATTTCACCCACAAGATTGGGCTTCATCATAAGGGGAGGAAGTACGCATTTTACCCACCAGACTGGCCTTCATCATAGAGGGGAAGAAGTATGCATTTCTGGGCTTCATAATAGGGGGAGGAGAGGAAAAAAATGTTTATACAATAGTAAATCTCAGGGCCGCTGATAGGAGGTGGAGCCAGCCTTCTTGTACTGAGCCTAGCCCTGTCGGTTCAGCATGGGGGGGTGGGCTCAGGAGCAGAGAAGGGACTTTTTAATTCCCTTTGGGAGTAATATTCCACCTCCTAATGATATTTTGGATGTGGTACATTCATTAGTGGATTATAAACCAACAGTTCCGATGAACCCCCAAACTTTAGCCCCCTTTTCAGCAGGAGCCATACATCATATATAGAAGAGGTATTTATAATGCTTCTAAATATGACAGCTTCCTACAGTCACTGATTCCTAAGGAAGCCATGTGTCAGGACCCAGATCTGAACCGGCATCCGGTCTGGTGATGTCTTTTTTGCTGAGCCACGGAATAACTCCTTGGACAATTCCTTGAATGATCCTGTCTTGAACTTTGTATGTTTTGAACTTTGAACCCTTTACTCCTCCCATGAACTTTCTGATTTAATCCATGTCTCTGCACTTACTGTTTGTCAGATTATTGTGCCAGAGGAGAAGTCAGGCAAGATAAAGACTCCCACTGACCAGCAAGATAGGTATACAAGCAGGTCACTCTGGTGGATGACGGGCATTTACCCAAGGTGTGGGGTCTAAGCACTAACTGTAATTCACCAGAGCTCCTGATGGTGGAGATGGGTTTTGCTGCACATTAGTACCAGGTCATGGTCCTCAGAATCGACCCACCAGGAGGTGAGCAAGCCAGGTCCAGTAGCAGATATAGCAGGTAGGGATCAAGCAGTAGTGTAGTCAGTAAACAAGCCAAAGGATGGTAACAAGTGGTTGCAGGTTGAGATCAAGCAGAAGCATAGTTGAGGAACAAACCAAAGGACGGTAACAAGTGGTTGCAGGTTGGGATCAAGCAGAAGCGTAGTGGAGGAACAAGCCAAAGGTTGGTAAAAAGTGGTTGCAGGTTGGGATCAAGCAGAAACATAATGGAGGAACAAGCCAAAGGTTGGTAACAAGTGGTTGCAGGTTGGGATCAAGCAGAAGCATAGCTGAGGAACAAGCCAAAGAAAAGTAACAAGTGGTTGCAGGTTGGGATCAAGCAGAAGCGTAGTGGAGGAACAAGCCAAAGGTTGGTAACAAGTGGTTGCAGGTTGGGATCAAGCAGAAGCGTAGTTGAGGAACAAGCAAAAAGATGGTAACAAGTGGTTGCAGGTTGGGATCAAGCAGAAGCGTAGTGGAGGAACAAGCCAAAGGATGGTAACAAGTGGTTGCAGGTTGGGATCAAGCAGAAACGTAGTGGAGGAACAAGCCAAAGGTTGGTAAAAAGTGGTTGCAGGTTGGGATCAAGCAGAAACATAGTGGAGGAACAAGCCAAAGGTTGGTAACAAGTGGTTGCAGGTTGGGATCAAGCAGAAACATAGTGGAGGAACAAGCCAAAGGTTGGTAACAAGTGGTTGCAGGTTGGGATCAAGCAGAAGCATAGCTGAGGAACAAGCCAAAGGTTGGTAACAAGTGGTTGCAGGTTGGGATCAAGCAGAAAGCATAGTGGAGGAACAAGCCAAAGGTTGGTAACAAGTGGTTGCAGGTTGGAATCAAGCAGAAGCATAGCTGAGGAACAAGCCAAAGAAAAGTAACAAGTGGTTGCAGGTTGGGATCAAGCAAAAGCGTAGTGGAGGAACAAGCCAAAGGTTGGTAAAAATTGGTTGCAGGTTGGGATGAAGCAGAAGCATAGCTGAGGAACAAGCCAAAAGAAAGTAACAAGTGGTTGCAGGTTGGGATCAAGCAAAAGCGTAGTGGAGGAACAAGCCAAAGGAAAGGTAACAAGTGGTTGCAGGTTGGGATCAAACAGAAGTGTAGTGGAGGAACAAGCCAAAGGAAAGGTAACAAGTGGTTGCAGGTTGGGATCAAACAGAAGCATAGCTGAGGAACAATCCAAAGGAAAGTAACAAGTGGTTGCAGGTTGGGATCAAGCAGAAGCTTATAAGTCAAGAAACAAGTCAAGGGGTCAGTAATGACTGGTAATGGAAACACAGATGGCAGTGGGAGTGACAAGAGCAAGATATTGGCTGGAAAGAACACAGTAATCTGGCGAACAGGAAGTGAAAAGGCATGGATTAAATAAGGAAGTTTTCAGGAAAAATAAAGGGTTCAGAGTTCAAGAGAAACAAGGTTCAAGACAGGACCATTAAAGGAATTGTGCAGGGAGCTTTACAGCATCCCAGGTGGCTCGTGCGCTGCGACCTTAAGTTTTTTTTTTTTTCGGTGAGCTGTTGGGTGGTGGGCATTGTGATTAATGATGGACTTGCAGGAAATTATAGAACTCTTGTCTCTTTGAGGAACACTACCCTATTTTAAACTCTATGGCCTTCCTGTTTGGCATGGCAGTGAGTCTTACAGCAAGTTATGAGGTTGGAAGTGAAATCTGTCACGGGGGGTACTCAGCCACACCATAGTGAGTCAGCTTGATCAATGAGACAATCTTTCATACAGTATATATCAGAGCACCCCCTGTGACAGATCACACTCCCAACCTCAGCATTTGCTGTAACACTCACTGCCACGCCAGACAGGAAGATATTCCAATAACAATTGGAGATCTAATGCCTCTTATGCATATACCTCAAGCAATGGAGACCTGACCAATACTCTAACCCCTCCATCCAAAAGATCCTTTAGATACACTTTAAGAAAGGAAACCTATCCTAAAATGGAAGTATCATTGCTGATCCGGTTCTGTTAATACCAGCCAATTGCAAGAAAACCCTGAAGCCAGAGGACCAGCATCACAGCCAAGCAAAGAGAAGACCAGCAACGACGTTTGTTTTCTTTCAGCAGTCAGTTGTCCCCAGTTGGATTTTCTTGGCAGAAGTTTCAAAAATGTAATCAAAGACCCCTCCCCCCCCCTGTTTCTTTATGAGCCGCTGCCGGGGATGGAGGTAAACGGTTACTAAATGTCAGAAGAACTGTTTTTCTTTGCATCTGTCTTGCATTTAGATTATATGAGAACTGTTAATTTTTAAGACGTTCATTTATGGTTATGGCTGACATAAAACAAAGTCCCATGTGAGATGAGGTGACACTTTAACTCAGTTCCTGGAGCAGCTGACATATGTGATGACATGAGGAAAAATAGAGAGTTGTTTTCAAGTGGGAGGCTCAGAGCAATGTGACAGGGAGAGCTGACTGTGACACAATCTGCCCAACCAGACCACGGATCTGATGAATAAACGGCAAAACATCTTCTGCCTCTAAAATTTAAATCTGACTTCCAGTCTTCCACAGGTGTACCGGCTCCTCCCCTCCAGTCTTGAACAGGTTGTACCGGCTCCTCCCCTTCAGTCTTGTACAGTTGTACCGGCTCCTCCCCCTTTCAGTCTTGCACAGGTGTACTGGCTCCTCCCCTTTTGTCTTGCACAGGTGTGCCGGCTCCTCCCCTTCAGTCTTGCACAGGTATATCGGTTCCTCCCCTTCAGTCTTGCACAGGTGTATCGGCTCCTCCCCTTCAGTCTTGCACAGGTGTACCGACTCCTCCCCTTCAGTCTTGCACAGGTGTACAGCTCCTCCCCTCCAGTCTTGCATAGTTGTACTGGCTCCTCCCCTTTTGTCTTGCACAGGTGTATCGGCTCCTCCCCTTCAGTCTTGCACAGGTGTACCGACTCCTCCCCTCCAGTCTTGCACAGGTGTACCAGCTCCACCCCTGCAGTCTTGAACAGGTGTACTGGCCCTTCCCCTTCAGTCTTGCACAGGTGTACCTGCTCCTCCCCTTCAGTCTTGAACAGGTGTACCGGCTCCTCCCCTTCAGACTTGCACAAGTATACAAGACTTTAACAGGTGTACTGGCTCCTCCCCTTCAGTCTTGCACAGGTGCACCGGCTCCTCCCCTTCAGTCTTCCACAGTTGTACTGGCCCCTCCTCTTCAGTCTTGCCCAGGTGTACCAGCACCTCCCCTTCAGTCTTGCACAGGTGTAACGGCTCCTCCCCTGCAGTCTTGCACAGGTGTACCAGCTCCTCCCCTTCAGTCTTGCACAGGTGTACCAGCTCCTCCCCTTCAGTCTTGCCCAGGTGTACCAGCTCCTCCCCTTCAGTCTTGCACAGGTGTAACGGCTCCTCCTTTTCAGTCTTGCACAGGTGTACCAGCTCCTCCCCTTCAGTCTTGCACAGGTGTATTGGCTCCCCCCCTTCAGTCTTGCGCAGGTGTACTGGCTCCTCTCCCCTTCAGTCTCGTGTAGGTGTACTGGCTCCTCCCCTTCAGTCTTGCACAGGTGTACCGACTTCTCCCCTTCAGTCTTGCACAGGTGTACTGGCTCCTCCCCTTCAGTCTTTCACAGGTGTACAGGCCCCTCCCCTCCAGTCTTGCACAGGTGTACAGGCCCCTCCCCTCCAGTCTTGCACAGCTGTAGCGGCTCCTCCCCTCCAGTCTTGCACAGCTGTAGCGGCTCCTCCCCTTCAGTCTTGCACAGCTGTACAGCTTGCACAGTACCGGCTCCTCCCCTTCAGTCTTGCACAGGTGTACCGGCTCCTCCCCTTCAGTCTTGCACAGGTGTACCTGCTCCTCCCCTCCAGTCTTCACAGGTGTAACTGCTCCTTGTCTTGCACAGGTGTACTGGCTCCTCCCCTTCAGTCTTGCACAGGTGTACCTGCTCCTCCCCTCCAGTCTTGCACAGGTGTACCTGCTCCTCTCCTCCAGTCTTGCACAGGTGTACCTGCTCCTCCCCTCCAGTCTGGCACAGGTGTACCGGCTCCTCTCCTGGACTGACATGTCTTCCTCTGATGTCACTGCACACTGGGAGCTTCTTACAATAATGTGCATTAGAAGCTGCAGCAAGTTAGATAGAGCTCCGCCTCATTTCCTGGCTGGAGGACGTCCAGCATCATTTAGCACTTCCCCCATTAACCTGGCTGTCCTTGGCCCGCCCCTTTCATTAATTGGATTTTCATTCTTTCAATCATGGAGGCTGAGCATCAAATATGAGAGTTACCTTTACAAATACAGCCTGCCTAGGAAGGCCCACTCCTCCTGACTGACACCCACCCTTCAAGGCATTTTGATATTTGCTCCCAAGAGCCAGCCAGATTGCCCGTCCTTTGGCTCAATGAAAGGGTAAGGGCCCATTCCCATCTGTACACTGCGATAACACAGGGAAAGGGAGATTTCCAAAACCAGAAACACTTTGGGGAAGATTTACTACAACTGGAGCACACAGAATCTGGTGCAGCTGTGCATGGCAGCCAATCAGCTTCTGCAGGGCTTTTTTGTCTCCAGAAATAGTTGCAGGAACTCCCCCCCTCTTCTGATCCAATTCTTGTCTGCACCCCCTACCCATCTCCAAGAAGCGTGTCATTTGGTTCCACCCTCTACCCACTTATTATTATTATTATTATACAGTATTTATAAAGCGCCAATAGTTCGCTCAGCGCTGTACATTACAGAGGGGGACAGAACATGTGACAGAACAATACCAATACAATGCAGAACATGAGGGGATCGAGGGCCCTGCTCTTTGGAGCTTACAATCTAGGAGGGAGGGGATGGTGGTACAGGAGGAGATAGCTGTGGGGGATGGAGTGGTAGGAAGAGTGGAGGAGGTCGGCAAGTTAGCAGGGGGTGGGGTAGGCTTCCCTGAAGAGATGGGTTTTCAGGGTGCGCCTAAAGGAGAGGAGAGTAGGTGATAATCTGATGGGTTGGGGCAGGGAGTTCCAGAGGATAGGTGACACCCTGGAGAAGTCCTGGAGGCGGGCATGGGAGGAGGAGACCAGGGAACTAGAGAGAAGGAGGTCTTGTGAGGAGCGGAGTGTGCGTGTTGGGCGGTACTTGGATATTAGGTCGGTGATGTAGTTCGGGGCAGTATGGTGGACGGCTTTGTACGTCAGTGTTAGGATTTTGAATTTGATCCGTTGTGCAATCGGAAGCCAGTGGAGGGATTGGCAGAGGGGGGTGGAGGACACTGAGTGGAGGTCAGTGGAGGGATTGGCAGAGGGGGGTGGAGGACACTGAGTGGAGGCCAGTGGAGGGATTGGCAGAGGGGGGTGGCGGAAACAGAGCGGTTGGAAAGGTGAATGAGTCTGGCAGCCATATTCAGGATGGACTGAAGCGGGGGGATAGCCAGCGGCGAGGCAGGCCAGTGAGGAGGGAGTTGCAGTAGTCGAGTCGTGATATGATGAGGGAGTGGATGAGCTGTTTAGTGTTTTCTAGCACCATCCCTTGGTTCCACCCCCTACTCACCTCCAAACACACTCCCTTGGTTCCACCCCCCACCCACCTCCAAGCACCGTCCTTTGGTTCCACCCCCTACCCACCTCCAAGCACCGTCCTTTGGTTCCACCCCCTACCCACCTCCGAGCACTGTCCCTTGGTTCCACCCCCTACCCACCTCCGAGCACCGTCCTTTGGTTCTACTCCCTACCCACCTCCAAGCACCGTCCCTTGGTTCCACCCCCTACCCACCTCCAAGCAGCATCCTATGGTTCCACCCCCTACCCACCTCCTAGCACCATCCCTTGGTTACACCCCCTACCCACCTCTGAGCACCGTCCTTTGGTTCCACCCCCTACCCACTTCTGAGCACCATCCCTTTGTTCCACCCCCTACCTACCTCCGAGTACCGTCCCTTGGTTCCACCCCCTACCCACCTCCGAGCACCGTGTCATTTGGTTCCACCCCCTACCCACCTATGAGCACCATCCCTTGGTTTCACCCACTACCCACCTCCGAGCACCGTCACTTGGTTCCACCCCCTACCCACCTCCGAGTACCGTCACTTGGTTCCACCCCCTACCCACCTCCAAGCCCCGTCCTTTGGTTCCACCCCCTACCCACCTCCGAGCACCGTCCCTTGGTTCCACCCCCTACCCACCTCCAAGCACCGTCCAGGAACTCCCTTCCTTCTGGGCCACTTCTTGTCTCTGCCCTCTACCCACCTCCGAGCACCGTGTCCCTTGGTTCCACCCTCTACCCACCTCCGAGCACCGTGTCATTTGGTTCCACCCCCTACCCACCCATGAGCACCATCCCTTGGTTCCACCCACTACCCACCTCCGAGCCCTGTCCTTTGGTACACCCCCTACTCACCTCCAAGCACTATCCCTTGGTTCCACCCCTACCCACCTCCAAGCACCCTCCCTTGGTTCCACCCCTTACCCACCTCCGAGTACCGTCACTTGGTTCCACCCCCTACCCACCTCCGAGCACCCTCCCTTGGTTCCACCCCCTACCCACCTCTGAGCATCGTCACTTGGTTCCACTCCCTACCCACCTCAGAGCACCATCCAATGGTTCCACCCCCTACCCACCTCCCACTATCGCTCCTTTTAGAGAATACAGAGTATCATTTGGTGGTGCTAAATTATTTGTATGGAATTTGGTAAAGATAACAAGCAGAAAAACAGATCCCCCACATCCAGCAGCAATAGACCCCCCCCCAGCAACAATAGATTCACCCAGCGACAATTGGTCCCCAAAACAAAATACCACTCCAGCAACAATAGACCCCCAGCAGTTTCAACAGATCTCCCAGCAGCCAGCATCAATAGACTCCAGCAGCCAGCAACAATAGACCCCTCCTTCAAAAGTAGATCCCTTTCAGCAACAATTGACCCCTATCAACAATAGATCCCCCCACCAGCAACAATACACATCCCCAGCAACAATAGACCACCACACAAAAATAGATCCCCTTGTGACAATAGATCCCCCAGCAGCCAGCAAGAATAGATCCTCCAGCACAGCCCAGCACCCCTTTCCATTACATACATTCAGTGCTGGAGGTGCCGGAACTGCATTACCCCACGTTCCCCCGCATTCCCCCATGTTCCTGCTGAAAAAAAGCCCTGAGTTTTTAACTCCAGCTTGTTTAACCCCTTGACGCCGATTGCATGCAAATATGCGGCCACGCCCAGCTGCACCCTGCACAAAGATTTTCCAGCTAATGGACCACAATCGATGTACCTGCAGCCTGAGAGCGATTGTTACTGGGTCAGGTTAATTATGCAATTAACCCTTTACACTGCCACCACCTCCTTTTTGTACAGAGAAAGCGGAAACTCTGCAATATCAGCAATAACACTATGATGTTTGAATAATCGTCTGTATACTACTGTCACCGCAGGCCGAGATATACCGAAGTTTAAAACACACACACAGTAGCGCTCTTCAGAGGCAGGGGTTCTTAGTTTGCATTAAAGAGCTTTAGAAACAGTTCAACACTTTCAGAAAGTAAGATTTATTACTAAAAGGACAAAAGGGTGCAATAAAAATATATACAGAAAAAGATGTAGCCAATATATATATAAATATACAGAGAACAATAGCACAGCAAAGAGGTAACAGAAAGAAGTTTAGAGGGATAAAGTACTTGCCAAAAGCCTTGGGTTAAGCAGATCAGATTTCAGTGCCAAAAGGATGCCTTATCTCCCAAAGTTAGTTCCGATGTTAAAAGGGAGAATCTTCAACTTCCCTTAGCTTAGCTCAGCTTTTTCTAGGGACTCAGCAGGGTGTCTCCTTAAAGCGGAGAACCAATCGCCTCATTTGGGGAGGGGTGTTGGGGCAGAGACCCAAGCTAGAACCAAAAACTCTCCCAGTTGATGTCATGGTTCATAACTTATTCTCAGTGCATTTAGCAGCCTGGCCACTAGTAGAGTAATATGCAGACGCATCTGCTGAACGGTTAGATATGAAATATGACATACCTGCTTGGATGGTTAAGAAGATATAATGTTCTGCTCTCCTGTATATGCCAGCTAGGGGGTGTAATATATCAGGCGACTTGTATTAAGGTGAGCCATCCGAATATGTGCTCCATGTTTATGTAATTATGTCCTATTTGAAGATATAAAATTATATGGAAAAGTGAATTTTTAAATGTAAGTCTGTTTTTACGACTACCTGGAATGTCTTTAAAGCTCTGTGAGGGCTTGGTTTATGGTTTTACGATCCCTTCTCCAGCAAAAGTCTTGCAGACATAGGGGTACCAGCTAGTGGGGTTTATAGCCATGACGCCCTCCCAATGAGTTTGCTGCCTGTGATCTGCATCAAACAGACCACATGTCACTCAACAGAGAGGGAGGGGGGATGAGGAAAGCTAATTTGGGAGTAGAAATGATACAAGATGGAAGATTCTTAACAAGATGGATGACCATGTCCATCTCTGTATGCACAATTGCTACACCCTCCCCCAGTGATCGGACTGTACATTGTAACTTTGTAGAAGGAGGAGTAGTCATTTCCTCAAACTGATACAGCACACTCCAAAACAAATCGAAGTGCAGAATGTAGCAAATCATTACAATGTGATCAAGAAAGACGATCTTAACATTGTAACATTAACATTGTAACATTGTAACATATTCTCCAAATATTCTCTAAATAATTATATTTGACATAAAAAGTACAAAAAGTATATTAAAGTGGCAAGAAACCCCAAAACAAACATTTCTTCTATCGCAGCGTACCAATTATTAGGCCTCATTCACACCTGAGCGGTTTGTAACGCGAAACTCGAGGCTCCAAAATGCTCAGGGGGAAAAAAATCAATATTCCTCTATGGAGACGATTCACATCTCCACTCCAAGTCGTCCGACGCAGAACGCCTGAAGATCGAAAAAGTTTTGGAGCTCATATTGGGCAGATGTGCACATTTTTTGTGCTTTTTTTTCTCATAGAAACGCGCAATTAATGCATTTTGCGCGTTTTTGCATGTGTTTTTTTGCGATTTTCTGCTTAAATGAAAAAAATAAAATAAAAAAAAAATATTATTAGTATATGAATAAATAAAATGTAAAATAAATACACATATAAATAAAAAATCATGATTAATAAATCATAAAGAAATAAATAATTAACCCCAACCTTAAAAAAATGAAATGGATTATTATTATTATTATTATTATTATTAATAATAATAATAATAATAATAATAATAGTAATAATAATAATAATGAAATGAATAAATACACAAGTAAAAAAAAAAAAGGAAATGCCTCCTCTTCCTTCTACAAAGTTACAATGTACAGTCTGATCACTGGGGGAGGGAGACTGAGGAAATGCCTCCTCCTGCTTGCACATTGATGACATCATCTCAGCCTAGGCAAAGCCACCAACTGGAGCTGAAGGACGATAAAAGGCGGAGCTCTCCTGGACATCGATCCTGTTGCTGTGTATTGGGTCCGGTCCGGGATTTATTCCTGCAGAACGGATCTTTAGACATTTGTGCAATTGAAACTTTGGCAGATTGCAAAACCTGATGCTGACACGAGTGAGATACGGTGGGGGGGGGTCAGAGGAGGACATCTGCTGTAGTCAGACTTGGGCCCCTGAGGTGGGGGGGTCAGAGAGGGATATCGGCTGTTGTCAGACGCCGGCCCTTGAGGTGGGGGGGTCAGAGGGGGACATTGACTGTTGTCAGACGCCGGCCCTTAAGGTGGGGGGTCAGAGGAGGACATTGGCTGTTGTCAGACGCCGGCCCTTGAGGTGGGGGGGTCAGAGGAGGACATTGGCTGTTGTCAGACGCAGGCCCTCGAGGTGGGGGGGGTCAGAGGAGGACCTCGGCTGTTGTCAGAAGCCAGCCCTCGAGGTAGGGGGGGGTCAGAGGAAGACATCGGCTGTTGTCAGATGCAGGCCCTTGAGGTGGGGGGTCAGAGGAGGACATCAGCCGTTGTAAGGCGCTGGCCCTCAAGGTGGGGGGGTCAGAGGGGGACATTGACTGTTGTCAGACACTGGCCCTCAAGGTGGGGGGGTCAGAAGAGGACATCGGCTGTTGTCAGACGCCGGCCCTCGAGGTGGGGGTGTCAGAGGAGGACATCGGCTGTTGTCAGACGCTGGTCCTCAAGGTGGGGGGGTCAGAGGAGGACATCGGCCGTTGTCAGATGCTGGCCCTCAAGGTGGGGGGGTCAGAGGAGGACATCGGCCGTTGTCAGACGCTGGCCCTCAAGGTGGGGGGGTCAGAGGAGGACATCGGCCGTTGTCATACACCAGCCGTCGAGGTGGGGGGGTCAGAGGAGATCGGCTGTTGTCAGACGCCGGCCCTCGAGGTGGGGGGGGGTCAGAGGGGGACATTGGCTGTTGTCAGACGCCGGCCCTTGAGGTGGGGGGGTCAGAGGAGGATATCGGCTGTTGTCAGACGACGGCCCTTTGAGGTGGGGGGGTCAGAGGGGGACATTGACTGTTGTCAGACTCCGGCCCTTGAGGTGGGGGGTCAGAGGAGGACATTGGCTGTTGTCAGACGCTGGACCTTGAGGTGGGGGGGTCAGAGGAGGACATTGGCTGTTGTCAGACACCGGCCCTTGAGGTGGGGGGAGTCAGAAGAGGACCTTTGGCTGTTGTCAGAAGCCAGCCCTCGAGGTGGGGGGGGTCAGAGGAAGACATCGGCTGTTGTCAGATGCAGGCCCTTGAGGTGGGGGGTCAGAGGAGGACATCAGCCGTTGTCAGATGCAGGCCCTCAAGGTGGGGGGGTCAGAGGAGGACATCGGCTGTTGTCAGATGCAGGCCCCTTGAGGTGGGGGGGGGGTCAGAGGAGGACATCGGCTGTTGTCAGATGCAGGCCCTTGAGGTGGGGGGGGGAGTCAGAGGAGGACATCGGCCGTTGTCAGACGCTGGCCCTCAAGGTGGGGGGGGTCAGATGGGGACATTGACTGTTGTCAGACACTGGCCCTCAAGGTGGGGGGGGGGTCAGAAAAGGACATCGGCTGTTGTCAGACGCCGGCCCTCGAGGTGGGGGGGGGGTCAGAGGAGGACATCGGCCGTTGTCAGATGCTGGCCCTCAAGGTGGGGGGGGGTCAGAGGAGGACATCGGCCGTTGTCAGACGCTGGCCCTCAAGGTGGGGGGGGGTCAGAGGAGGACATCGGCCGTTGTCAGACACCAGGCCCTCAAGGTGGGGGGGTCAGAGGAGGACATCGGCTGTTGTCAGACGCCGGCCCTCGAGGTGGGGGGTCAGAGGAGGACATCGGATGTTGTCAGACGCCGGCCCTCAAGGTGGGGGGTTAAGAGGATTTCATTCGGCCATTGTCAGATGCCTGGCCCTCAAGGTGGGGGGGTCAGAGGAGGACATCGGCTGTTGTCAGACACCGGCCCTCGAGGTGGGGGGTCAAAGGAGGACATCGGCTGTTGTCAGACACCGGCCCTCGAGGTGGGGGGGTCAGAGGAGGACATCGGCTGTTGTCAGACGCCGTCCCTCAAGGTGGGGGGGTCAGAAGAGGATATTGGCTGTTGTCAGATGCCGGCCCTTGAGGTGGGGGGGTTAGAGGAGGACATCAGCTGTTGTCAGACGCCGGCCCTCGAGGTGGGGGGTTCAGAGGATT